ATGTGGTTTGGTCCCAACTGTGCCTTTTTACTTGTCAACCTTGGGCTTAGCAGCCTCAGCAGCCAGCAACTGTCTGAGTGAAGAAAAGCCTCTAGCTTCAGTGGGCCAGGAGCTGGAGGTAGAGCTGAAGCCCAAGGCTGAGGGGCTTTCACCCAGCCTCTAGAGCCTGGCACTTTGAACTTGGACTTAAAGTCTCAAAACTATAAGAGAATAAACTCCTGTTTGTTAAGGCCATCCCATCTGTGGTATATTCTAGTGTATATATACCTAGTGTCAGAGCAGCACTAGGTAACCAGAACAGTCCCAATATTACCAAACCACGTGACAGGCCATTAATTCAAGTCCATTGAAAGTCCCAAGGTTGGCAGAGCATGGCAGGCTGCTGAACAATGGCACAGCTACGTGCAGGGTTTAAGCATGCTATAAGCTAGGGACCATTCCCCTAGCCTTCTCCTTATATATAGGAAGCAGACCACATCCCCAAGGCAGCTACTCAGCTGTACACAGTAGATTCCAGCATGGAGTTGATTACCAGTCTCATCATGGGGACTACTCTATCCAGCTGCCCAGTCATTCAACCAGGTCCAGCCACACTGACACATAAACTTAACTACCACATTCAGCAAATATTTATTGAGCATCTTCTTTGTGACAGTTTCTGTTCTAATTTGATTGATAGAGATAAAGCACTGTAAAAACAAATGTCCTTCTTCCTGGAGCTGACTACATAGTGTAGAAGACAGATAACAGGAAAAAAAATTTAAAAAATACCTATGTTAATATAAAAATACCTAGTCAATATCACCTGTAGTAAAATTTTGCTGAAGATAATTAAAAAATGGCTGCAGCAGTACATCAATAGGGAACAGTAAGGCAGCCTCAGAAAAGGATGTGAAACAAGGGATAGCACTACAGATATCAGATGGATCTTGGCTGAAAGTAGAGAATACCAGAAAGATGTTTACCTGTACTTTATTGACTATGCATTCAACTGTGTAGATCATAATTAAGCATGGACGACATTCTGAAGAATGGGAATTCCAGAACACTTAACTGTGGCTCATGAGGAAAGAACCTGAACGTAGAGCAAGAGGTAGTTGTTCAGACAGAACAAGGGGATAATGTGTGGTTTAAAATCAGGCAAAGTATGCATCAGGATTGTATCTTTCTACCAAACTTATTCAATCTGTATGCTGAGCAAATAATCCTAGAAGGTGGACTATATAAAGAAGAATGCAGCAACAGGACTGGAGTAATACTCATTAACAACCTGCAATAAGCAGATGACGCAACCTTGCTTGTTGAAAGTGAAAAGGACTTGAAGCACTTACAGATGCAAATCAAAGACTATAGCTTTCAATATAGATTACACCTCAACATAAAATGAAAATTCTCACAACTACACCAATAAAGAATATCATGATCAATGGAGAAAAGACTATAGTTGTCAAGGATTTCAGTTTACCTGGATCCACAATCAATGCCCATGAAAACAGCAGTCAAGAAATTAAATGACATATTGCATTGGGCAGATCTTTTAAAAAAGGTCTCTTTAAAGTGGTAAAGACCAATGATGTTACTTTTAGTATTAAAGGGTGTCTGACCCAAGCCACAGTATTTTCAATCACTTAATCTGCATGCAAAAACGGGACAATGACTAAGAAGACACAAGAATTGACCTCTATGGTATTAATGAAGACTATTAAATGTACCATGGGCTTCCAGAAAAATGAGCAAATCTTTTTTGGACAAAGTGCTGCAGAATGCTCTTAGAACAAAGACTGCAAGACTTTCTCTCACGTACTTTGGACATGTTATCAGGAAGGACCAGTCCCTGGAGAAGGACACCATGCTTGGTAAGGCAGAGAGTCAGTGAAAAATTAAATAGATTGGCACAGTGGCTCCAACAGTGGGCTCCAACATAGCAACAATTGTGAGTATGGCACAGGACTGTGCAGTGTTTTCATTCTGTTGCACACAGAATCACTATGAGTCGGAACCAACTTGCTGGTGCCTAACAACAACCATATATAGTCAATGGGGAAAAATAAAACAGGGTAAGGAAATTGAAACTATGGTGAAAGGGTGGTAGCTATTATAGTATGGTCTGGGAATGACTCACTGCTCTGGTGACATTTGAGAAGAGAAGCGAGAGAGCGTGGGCTGCAGATTCCTAGGGGAAGATTGTTACAGGCAGAGGCAGTAACAGGTGCAAAGGCACGGGTGTACTTGTATCAACAATGGCCAGTGTGCCTGGAGGTAAGTGTTTGACAAGAGTGGAAGGAAATAAAATGATGTTTTGGGACGTGAGGGACACAGGCAAGTTCAGGAAGGTCCTTGTGGACCACTGCAAAGACTTTGTCTTCTACTCAGTTGGGATGGGAAGCCAGTAGAGGTTTCTCAACAGAGGAGAGGCATATTCTGTTTTTGCACACGGTATCTCTGGGAGGAAAATATGCAGAGAGACCAGGGGAGAGATGATGATAGTGTTTGAACCAGACCAGTACTGTGGGGGAGATGAGAAGTAATTGAATCCTAGATATATTCTGAACGCAAAGCTGAAATAATTTGCTAATGGATCAGAAATGAGATGAGAAAGAAACATCAGAAAGTAAGATGACTCCAGGGCATTTAGCTCGGAAACTGGAATAGACATTTCCATTGACTGAGACAGGTGATACTGCAAAAGCAGCAAATTGGAAGGCAAAAATAAGAAATGGATTTTAGGGTATTTAGGTTAGAATCATGTGCTGTTCAAATCAGCAGCCACTAGGGACTTATAGGTATTCATAGTTTAATCAGTTATAACTCAGTGCTGAGTCATGTGATACTTGACATACTTCAGCACAATGGAAAATTGTCCCACCCAAAATGTCAACAGCTTCCCTATGTAAGAATCATGGGCTCAATGTCCTTCAAGCAAATTTCCACAGTCCATAAACAGGCATTATTAGGTCATGGTGGTTAGGAACACAGGTTGTTACTCATATGTAATCTGTCCTGACTTGTAGTAGCCATGTGACTTCATCTATAAATGAAGAAATCAATACTACACATTAACCAGAGTGGTTGTGAGAACTACTAAACACTTGAAGTACTTCGCCCAGTGTTTGGTTCAGGGAGAATACCAAATAAACGTACACTTTATTAGAAGTGGAAAAGGGGGACTAGTATGGAAACTATAATGAGCAAGGTGGAAATTCAAATAAAAAAGGAAGTCTAGAGCAGTTCTAATAAAAAAAATATGCCAGCCTCACATGCTTCTAAATCTTCCACACATACATACAAAAAACTGACATTAATTTTGATATTTAACCAAAAATAATCCCAAATGTTACTATAATATATAATCATAATAATGGTTAATGGAGTATTTTTTTCCTACTGTTTGAAAATCAGCACACGCTTTATACTTGAAACATCTCAGCCAGACTAGCCAGATTTCAAATGCTCAAGAACCGCATCTGGCTCGTGGCAGTATACTGAACAGCACAGATCTAGTGTCAGTAAGGCCAAACCTTCATTGACTGCTTAAAAAAAAAAAATAAAATCAAACTTCCTGCCATTGAGGTGATTTTGACTCACTTAGCAAATCCTATTGGATTTCCGAGGAGGTAAATCTTTACAGAAGTTGATTGCCCCATCTTCCCTTTGTGGAGTGGCTGGTGAGTTTGAACCACTAACTTTCTGATTAGCAGTCAAATGCCACAGGGTCTGCACTACCAGAGCTCCTTAGCTCTGGCTAATTCTTACATAGAAGATTCTTACCAGTGTTTGCATGCAGGGCAATCTCAGTGCATGGAGAGTGGTTCCAGAAAAGTCTCTGTTAGTACACTTAAGGATTTTAAAAACAGAGTTATTTAAACAAGCTGCTAAGACGTAGTGATGTAGAAAGATTGAGCACAATCATTTGAGTTGACTAGATGTATATTCACGATGCAAGTCTACCACTCCCTATATCCTTGACAGGTTAGCCAGGCAAAACTGTCTTCTTATTTGCAGTGTAGATAATGGTACCTGATGCCGTAGTATTGCTCTGAGGATCACGTACACAAAGCTTTAGCTCATTACCTATTACCGATTTCTCCAAGTATTTGTATATTGGCCCAGGAAACAGAATAGAGGTTTTTCAGAATTCTTTATATAGCATATTATATGTATATATAATCACATGTGGAATATTTATTGCACTGTATTACTTCTGTGGCTTTTGTTAATGAGTACTTAGTATTCTTCTGGGAGCTCTGGTAGCGTAGTGCCTAAGGCACTTGACTGCTAACCAGAAGGATGGTGGTTCAAACCCACCAGCCACTCCTCGGAAGGAAGGTGGGGCAATCTACTTCCGTAGTGATACTGCCTCGGACACCCCAGGAGGGGTCGCTATGAGTCGGGTCCGACTCAACGGCACATAACAACAACAACAACAGTATTCTTCTAAAGCTGAAGTGTTTCTCCTCACACTGAGTATTTATTGCGCTATATTACTTCTGTGGCTTTTGTTAATGAGTACTTAGTATTCTTCTAAAGCTGAAGTGTTTCTCCTAATACTGAGGGCAATGATTTGTCCACTGTGACCAGATACAGCTTAATCTCTAAACCGTGCCTGGCACGTGGAAGGTCTGTAATAACTTTATTAAATAAATTTTTCACTGCAGAAATCCTGAAAAATAATCATAAGGGCACCATTAAAATATAATTTATCAATGATAGTTATTTAACTTTTGTTCTAATAATTAAATTACAAACAGTTTACGTAGCTACCTTTTAATTAAAAGAGTCTGTTAGAAATGTAAGATTCTTGAGTAGATGCAAAGTTCAGTGTCAATAAACTTAAATCATTGGTACTGTATTTGCTTTGGAAGTACCTTCACATGTAAATTACCAGAATATAATCTCAACATAGTCTGTTCAAGACTATAATACCAGAATTTATTCAAGTCATTAATTATCCAAACTCATCAGTGATTTCCTTTCAGGTTAAAGAATGACTACAACACTAATATTAGCACAAACACATTTATTTACTAACCAAAGGGATGATCCTAATTAAACCAATACTTTGAAATAGTTGCATGTAAAATGTTTGTGATAGAAATAATTGAACACAGTAATGAAGGACAAAAAAGCAGTATGAGATTTGCTCATTGAACTGAGCTTGTTCATTCTCACAGCTAACTCCTATCCAAAGTGATGATGGGCTATTTATTCTACTTTTTCATAGATCCGAGTGCAGGTGATATTGTTCATAACACATTCCTAGAAGAAAAATACAGTAATAATCGGTTAATCTTGTACCCTATGGCAACAGTGGTAGTAAAATGTCAGAGTCTTACAAGACCTTGTACTCTACTTCATACATGGAGAAAATCTGCTTTAGGATCTCGAATTCAAGAGAAGCTAGAACTTGTTGTATTAATTCTAGTATTGAGTTGTTGTTGTTAGCTTCTGTCGAGATGGTGCCTAACCCACAGTGATCCCACATACAACTGTACGAAAGGCTGCCTGGTCCCTTGCCATCACCCTGATCCACAGGGTTTTTAATTGCTGATTTTCTGAAATAGATTACCAGGTCTTTCTTCTTAATCCATCTTAGTCTAGAAGCTTTGCTGAAAATCTGTTCACAGTATCAGAAACACACAAGCCTCCACTGACAGACACAGGTGGTGCCTGCAACGAGGTGCACTGACTGGGAATCGAACCCGTCTTCCACATGGAAGAATTCTATTAATGAACCATCACTGCCCCTATAAAGTATTCAGTATAATACCTAATACCTGGCAAATATTATTCCTCATTTTAAAGAGATGGAAAAATGCATGCCCAAAAGGATAGTGCGGTGGCTTACCTAAGATTGTAAAAAGAAAACCAAACCAACCTCATTGCCATCTAGTTGATTCCAACTCATAGCAACCCCCATTGGGTTTCTGAGGTGGTAAATCTTCACAGAAGTAGATAGACCCATCTTCCTATTGTGGAGCAGCTGGTGGATTTGAACCACCAACCTTCTGGTTAGCGGTCAAATGCCTTAGGCACTGCGCCACCAGAGCCTAAGATTATAGTATATGTTTATAGTATAAAGTAGCAGCAAAGCAAAGGCTAAACCTAGCTCCAGCTACATTTCCTGTCTTATGCCACTTCCCTGTCCCTACAAAGAAGTGTTTTTAATAATTAGCGTTCTAGTATTTAACTTATTATTTAGCATTATTTTTCTTCCAAACCTAGTTCTCCTGTTTATGATCAGTGATAAAGAATAGTTACATGAACAATGTATGCAAAGAAAAAGCCCAATAAGACATATGAAGTTTGGTACTTACCACCACTAATTTCCCATCTTGCAATTTTCTTGTTATTGTGCTTTCTTTCCCATCCCACTCCTGGTGTTGAACCAAAGTACCGTCTGTAAAGTTGCAGACAGTCTATAAAAATAAAATATGTATTTTTAGTTATTTCAAAGTATATGCCAAAAGAGTTTGCCTGAATCATAGCCTCCTTAATCAACATTCTAGCATCTTCTACATTCTGGGCTTACTTTATTAACCCAGGTTGATCATATTCACATAGTTTATGCTTTTCAATCCAGAAATACATAGAAGATGCTCATTTTTTCCTCTCCTGCTCTTTAAGCCATTTTAAAGATAAACTAGGTTATAAAGCTCGTGCTTTTAACAATTTGTCAAAATTCAAATCATTAAACCACTTGAGACTTTTTCATTAAGTTCTTACCTGTCAACAGTAAGAATGTTGACACAGTCTATCATTCTAGAAACTTCTAAGATTTTATAACTTAAGTTATGACTAACCTGAGTTTTTCTGCCATCAGCTGTAGTTTCTTCAAACTTTTCTCCCAGGTTACAAGAAAACTGTGTTGTTTTCAAAGTGCTCTCTGTTTTTATGGTGAGGGCTTTGCCATCACATGAGATGACACAATCTGGCTTGGCCATTGCGCCCATTTTTCGCAGAGCCACTCCCACTCCTGTAGAATGTTATAGCTCGTTAAATAACAGGAAGACCAAAGATATATAACAAAAGCAGCTATCCAACTGTAATTATTATGCATGATATATTTTCACTTGTTCACTTTAGTATGAATCCCAAATGCCATCATTTTACACATATTCATGTAAGACTAGCAATAATGATAGCTATTAAGTAGCTATCACTGTCTATACTTTGTTGTTGTTATGTGCCGTGGAGTCCGCCCTGACTCATAGCGACCCCTCCTTGGGTTTCCGAGGCAGTATCACTACAGAAGTAGGATTGCCCAACCTTCCTTCCGAGGAGTGGCTGGTGGGTTTGAACCGCCAACCATACTAAACTGGTGAAAATGTGAGGTTGAACAAACTTGCCTAAGGTCATGTAGTTAGGAAGTGATGTAACTGGGAATAAAACAGGGACCTCTATTTCCAGTAATTAGCTTTTGGTTTCCATGCTGTGCTGAGTTAGGGTATAAATACAGACTTCTAAAATTTATTTACTCAAAGCATTGATAGATGGTAGAGATAAAGCAATCAAAATTGTAAACTCAGTGGGGCTTGCTCAGTGTTTTTCTATGCAATGGATTCTGCCAACCATTGTATGCTACAACTCCAGCATATTACTTGGCACATAAAAGGCCCTTGATAAATACTTGGTTAATAGACTATATAAAACAAGTAAATTCTGAGATATTCAAATAGCACAATGTTTCAGAGTTAATAATGCAATCATGGTGACAGTAAGTGAAAAAAAACTTTACCATCAAAAACAGAAAACATTTCATAGCTATATATCTTAATTACTACATTGATAAAATATTTAATTCATAAATCGTATAATTCCTCTAAGTGGTAAGGAGCTAGACCACCTGCCCATTTCACACGTAAGACTACTAACAGCGAAATAACTGGCTTGAAGACAATCACTCAGCCAGATCTTAAACTTTCCCTTAAAGCCTTCTCTTTTGGCAACTGAGGGTTGGTGCCTGGTGTTGTTAGTTATTATTTCCTCTCACTCTGGACAAACAAATGGGCTCTATTCTTTCCACATCTCCATAAACTGAGGTTTGACAACCTTCATAGCTCCAGAATCCTAGAAACAAGTAACACACTTACTTTCAATGGACACAGAAACAGAGTTCTCTATTTGGACTTCACAACCAGACATATACACAAATGCTGTATTTCTTAGATATAAAATGTAGTGAGTTTATTTTTTCCAGGCTCATCTCCATTAGGTTCGCAATGGAAAACAACAAAAAACGCTGCCTTCTTGTTTTGCCAACAGTATGATAAGTACACTCAAGATTCAACACACAACAAGCCTCAACACCACCCTGTCTTGGATAAAGATTAGTGAAGGAGGGCTTCTAAGATTCCTGTTGTTGTTGTTGTTGTTATGTGCTGTTGAGTCGTACTCGACTCATAGGGACCCCTCCTTGGGTTTCCGAGGCAGTATCACTACGGAAGTACATTGCCCCATCTTCCTTCAAAGGAGTGGCTGGTGGGTTTGAACGGCCAGCCTTCTGGTTAGCAAAGTGCCTTAGGCACTACGCTACCAGAGCTACATAAGGGGCTGCATTTCCTAACAGAGGGTCTTAGGGACTCCCGCACCAGAGAGCAGTCATGTCTACACCTGAGTGAAATAACGGCTTCTGGAAGCACCTTCACGGTCTCAGCAGCCTAGAGCTGTAAAACCACTCCCAGATGGGATCTATGCTGTTATTTCACACTTCCTGGTGGCCTGTGACAAAAGTTTATTTTTGTTTGCCAGTTTCACTCGTTTTCAATAGTAGAAAAGCATAGTAACAGAAAATCACGCACTATATTAAAAAGTGAATTTGAATCTTCCCACAGAGACTTCGAGGAATGCTTCAGAGTTTTCAGCAGGGCCACGCCCATCTTGCACGTTGAATAAACAGCTTATATAGTTATCTTTTAAAGCAAAAAAACCCAACCCACTGCCATGGTCGAGTCATACTCATAAGTGATCGCCATTGGGTTTCCAAAGGTTGTAAATCTTCAAGGAAGTAAACTGCTTCATCTTTCTCCTGCAGAGCAGCTGGTGGATTTGAACCGCCAACTTTCTGGTTAGCAACCAAATGCTTTACCCACTACGCCATTATTTTTTACATTAATTAAAGATTTTGCAAGAGATTTCCAGTTTTCCAACAAAGGACAGGGCCTCCTTGCCTTCACCTCAAGATGCTGAGGCCAGGGCAGCAGAGACCACCCATCCCCAGGAACACCAGGTCTCACTGCGCGCGTCCCACAGCCCCCGCCCTTTGTCGCCTAGGCCAAGTGGATCAGCCAGGGCCACACCTCTCAGCGCCGCTCCAGGGCCAGGAGGCGAGGATGCGCCTCGCTCACCCGGCGGAGGAGGGCAGGAGCCGCGGGGAGGGGCGTGGTGAGAGCAGAATGGAAGCTGGAGCTGCAGCCTCCTTTATACCCTCAACAGGGCTTCTGCAGGAAACCACACACTCTCCCAAGAGCCATGGCACCGCGTCCCCGTGGAGAAGAGGACGGGAGACCGTGCGCCATCAAGGAACAAAAGATGCGGCAGTCGGGCCTCAGGGCGGCATAGAGGGAATAGGTGCTGCCACGATAGAGTAGGACTGATGGGATGGCCCAGAGAAGATCGAAAAAGCTTGGGGTGAGGGATGAGCGCGCGTGAAAGGACAGGATGCAGTGCGGAAAGGCTGCGCCGAGGACATGGGGAAAGGAGGAGAGGAAAAAGAGTTAGCGGGACCACGAGGCGGTACATCCTCGCAATTCTGGGGCGGGAGGAAGGCGTGCACGCCCCGCTCTTCTGGCTGCTTTCACACATGGTGCACAGAGCGCTCAGCCAGAGGCCGCGTGTTGGTGGTAAGGTGGGAGATGCCGCCACGGAACGCCGATCAGGAGCTCGGGCAGATGGACACACGTTTGCCACGTTGCCGGCGCCGCCGAGCCGAGTACCTCACCTACTTCCTTCATGTATTCATCAAAGCCTTTGCTGTCTACCAGGCGCCATCTTCCTACCAGCTGTTCAACGGTGGCCATGGTGGGGGCGGACGAGCCGGAGTGCACAGTGGGCAAAGGAGGGTCCTGCGGGAGAGCGTGGCGTGCGGGTGCCTGTGCCACGGGCCGCCTTATAAAGACGGTGCGCGCCGGGCATCGCCGCTTGGCCAATGGGAGGCGCGCGTCTCCCCGCCTCTGCTCCGCCCCCGGCGCACCCTGGGGCCTCCCTCCCGGAGGCGGGAGGTGCGAGCCGGCTCCACCTGCCAGAGATCCCAGGGCTCCGAGGGAGCCACGTGCAAGCGGGGACTCGCCCGACGCGCCCCACGCCTCTCCGGACGCCAGCTCCTGCACTCACCAGCGCCTCAAACCCAGGAGGTCAGGTTCCGCCTCTCATTCTCTCGGGCCCAGTGGTTTTACAGCCAAGCTGCCAAAGAATCTGTTATCCCTCACTAGTCTGGGCAGCAGGGAAATTAATTGATCTATTGATAAGCTTCCTCACCTCCCTAATCACTTCCCTTTGTCAATGAACAAACCAGAAAACAGGCAAATCCATATAGCACACCCTTCTGAGCGAACCTGTTCTCCCTACTTTCAGGCCACCCTGGACCTGTCACAGACTCAATTAGGACATGATGGGTTTAAAAGTGAGTTTGAGGTAGGTGACTTCATCAGAAGAAGCGAGGTGGGGTGCTATGTCTGAGGAAGATCTGTTTCTCAGCTAAAACTCTGTAGGAAGTTTCATCTTAAGTGACTGTCGTTGCAATTAAAGATCAAGAATGTTTTATTAGTTTGTATTCCCAGGACAGTGAATCCTTCAGAGTCTCTTCCCGTCCTCTCTAATATCAAGCCCCTTTAGACTGCAGTGCGTTTAATCGTAATAGTACCCTATACTTGTGGGTAGAACATTATACTTTTCAAATTATGCTTTTCACACTGTCTTATTTGGTGCTTTCAGGTCCCTGTGGAGGTGAAATGGGGTGAGGTATGGAAGTTGTCACCCAGAGAGGAGGGCACTTTGGCGGAGATAATGTCCATTTATTGAGGCCTACTATGGATGTGCTAGAGGACAGTGACAGTTAAGGGGTAGAATTCTTGTCTCCCTTGGGGAGGGGTGGCAGAAAGTTTCCAGACTCAGCCAGTATACCTCACACAGCCAACACTCCTCCCTCAGTGGAGGCTTGTGTGTTGCTATGATGCTGAATAGGTTCCAGTGGAGCTTCCAGACTAAGATGGACTAAGAAGAAAGTCCTGGAGATCTACTTCTGAAAATCCAACCAAAAAATACAAAACTCTCTGCCGTTGAGTCGATTCGACTGGTGGCAACCCCTCCTTGGGTTTCTGAGGCATAAACCAAACCAAACCAAACTCGCTGCTGTGGAGTTGGATCCGACTCATAGCAACCCCTCCTTGGGTTTCTGAGGCAGTATTATTACTGAAGTAGATTGCCCAACCTAAGAAATTGCCCAATCTTCCTTCCGAGGAGTGGCTAGGGGGTTTGAACCACCAGCCTTCTGGTTAGCAGCCAGATGCCTTAGGCACTATGCCACCAGAGCTCCTTCTGAAAATCAGCCAGTGGAAAGAAACCCTATGGATCACAACAGACTGATGGTTGTGTATGGAGTCACCAGAAGTCAGGGGCTGCTAACAAAAACCGAATGCTGGATGCTCTCTGAGCACTTTATGTGTATTAGCTCTTCCAGTTTACCAGTTGCCATCAAGTCCGCTCCAATGCATGGAGACCACATGTGGTGACAGAGCAGAACTATGCACCATAGAATTTTTCAATAGCTGTTTTTTAAGAAGTAGATCATCAGGCTTTTCTTCCGAGTCACTTCTGGATGCAATCGAACTGCCAGCCTTTTGGTTAAATTGTTTACACAACCCAGGGACTCCCCATTAGCTCTAATCCTTCCTAAACTCTGGTAGGATTGTTATCTCAATTTTTCAAAAGAGAAAAATGAGGCGGGAAAAGGTCTCACAGTGCAGTATCAGAATCTCTATCCAGCATCCTAGAGAGGCAGCTTTTGTGTGTTGGAACTTGTGTTCTTCGTGTGCTGTGTAGTATTTCCTAATAATAGCCGCATCCCCAGGACTGGAATATTAATTTTTATATTATCATAATCAACCATGTTACTGAAATATCAAAAGCAGAATGGCACTATACTAGATGCTTAAGAAATAGCTTTTAAGCCCAAACTGGGGGGTACCTAAAACTTAACTTTTAAACACATGCTTGGATGTGATGAGCGCAAATAATTATTTTGTGGTTAAAGCGCACCAACAAACAGAATAGTAAGATGTGGGCCAAAATACCTGTTATTGTCTCACTTGAGCCAAGTAAAGGGTGTGGTCATGACTCTACTACTGTGGGCAGCACACTTAATCACCTCTGTTCCTCATATACCCTCTGTCCTCAGATGCCTCATCTTTAAAAGACTTAAAAGAATATAAATAAATAATAGATTGGAGATTATTTATAATGTCCTTCTCAGCCCTACTATTCAGATCTCCTTCCTTTCTTAAGAATAATGATAATGAATTTCAAACTCTGAAAGGCATTAATTACTCCCATAACCTGCTTACTACAGTCTTATTCTAGGCTCATTAACTTGAACTCAGTAGGAGGTGTAAAAGCCAAAAATGTGAAAACAAATCTGATTAAAGTCTGATATGACTTTATGGGATTGTTGAGTATTTATTGGAAAAATGGGGGAGAATTATCAATGATTGCTAATTTACAAACCAGGGACAATAGTTTTATCCTAACTAACCCTTGCAAACATTAGTAATGATGCTGCTCATTCTTTTAGTAGCAGCACAGAGGCAGTATAGGGCAATATAGGTGTCACAGTGTGTCTTCATGCTGAGAATTAATAACACTTGCATTATTCTTATGGATGAAAATGACTGAAGAATCAAGAATTACTAGCAACTCTTCCACAGTAGTCCTAGAAGACAACAACAGCAACTTCCACAGTAGCCCCAGAAGACTATCTTTTGTAAGCCAGATGCAATTTTGCTTAATCTTTCTGAGCCTTGAACGTTTGAAATTAAAGAGGTGAGAATTAGACTAAATGATTTCTTATGTCCCTTTCAGCTAGGGGTACTCCTGCAGTTGTAGTTCGTGGCCCTGAAAAATGTACTCAAATCCCTCTGTTTCCACCTAGTGGTGAAATGTAATATTTCTCTTAGGTTTTATTTGATAGATGTTAATAGTTTCTCAGCTTCACATCTCACAGTCATAGGCATAGCTTTGGAGTGATGTGTAATTTTACTTCCCAGTTACAGTTTCTTTAGATAAATGTGCTTTCCAAAGAGTTGATTATGGTATGTAATCATTTCCTTAGGACAGCAAGTATTGGTGGCCTAGAATCATGTAGCTGGTAGAAAGAGAGAGAGAAGCAATGAACACCATATTAAATAAATCATTGAAGAATGTGAACAAGTAACCAATCCATGTTCAGAAAGTTCAGTCTTGCCTAAGTGTTGTGGCTAGATTCAACCAAGAAAGGGGGCTGGGGGTAGGGAAGTAATGTCCTTACTATAAAGGGAACTTCTGAAGCTTTAATCACCTAGGGATCTTGTTAAAATGCAGATGCTGATTCAGTAGGTTGGATTAGGGCTCAAAGTCATGTGTTTTTAACAGCTTCCTAAGTGATGCCAGTGGTGCTGGTCTGGGGACCCTCTTTGGAGTAGCAGGACAATAAAGTGCAATAATCTCTGCATGGCTTTGCCTCATTGGGGTGACTTTAATTTCAATAAGTAAGTATTTTCTTATTACATTCCTATGAAAATTTATTGCAAAGAAAGGAAATTGAAAGAACTCACTCTGGAAACTACCTCTCTCATCTTTTGGTCTGTAGTAGCCATTTTTTGTTTGTTCTCCA